CTCATCATCATCATTATCATCCTCATTAATATTATGAAGGATCTAGAGATTCTTTATCATTATCGTTGTCGTGGTCATTACCATCACCACTATATTAAGGATCTAGAGTTTCCTCATCGTCAAAATCATCATCATTAATATTATTATTAAAGATCTCAAGATTCAATAATAATAATAATAATAATAATAATAATAATAAGGATCTATAGATTCTTACCATCATCACCACCATCATTATAAATATTATTTCTTATCATCATCATCATCATCATTATTAAAGATCTAGAAATTCATCATCATCATTGTTATGATTGACATCATTCAGGATCTAGAGATTCCTTCTCATTCATTTTATTAAGGATCTAGATAGCCTTCATCAACAACATCATCTTCATCATTAATATTATGGATCTAGAGATTCCTTCTCATTCATATTATGAAGGATCTAGATAGTCTTCATCATCATCAACATCACCTTCATCATTAATATTAAGGATCTAGAGATTACTTATAACCTTAATCGTCTTCTTCATTATTAATAATTTTATTAAGGATCTAAAGATTCCTCAGGATCATCACCATTATTATTATTAATAATAATATTAAGGATCTAGAGATTTGTAATCAATATCATTAAGGATCTAGAGATTCTTTATCCCCATCATTATTGCCATCATTATTATCATTAACATTATGAAAGATCTAGAGATTCTTTATTATCATCATCTTCATAATCATTAATATTATGAAGGATCTAGTGATTCCTCATCATCACCACCATCATTAATATTATGAAGGATCTAGTGATTCCTCATCACCATCATCATCATCCTCATTAATATTATGAAGGATCTAGAGATTCTTTATCATTATCATTGTCGTGGTCATTACCATCACCACTATATTAAGGATCTAGAGTTTCCTCATCATCATCATCATCATCATTAATATTATTAAAGATCTCAAGATTCATTAATAATAATAATAATAATAATAATAAGGATCTAGAGATTCTTACAATCATCACCACCATCATTATAAATATTATGGTTTCTTATAATCACCATCATTATTAAGGATCTAGCGATTCATCATCATCATTGTTATGATTAATATCATTCAGGATCTAGAGATTCCTTCTCATTCATATTATGAAGGATCTAGATAGCCTTCATCATCAACAACATCACCTTCATCATTAATATTATGGATCTAGAGATTCCTCTCATTCATTTTATTAAGGATCTAGATAGTCTTCATCATCCTCAACATCACCTTCATCATTAATATTACGGATCTAGAGATTCCTTCTCATTCATATTAATAAGGATCTAGATAGTCTTCATCATCCTCAACATCACCTTCATCATTAATATTACGGATCTAGAGATTCCTTCTCATTCATATTAATAAGGATCTAGATAGTCTTCATCATCCTCAACATCACCTTCATCATTAATATTACGGATCTAGAGATTCCTTCTCATTCATTTTATTAAGGATCTAGATAGTCTTCATCATCCTCAACATCACCTTCATCATTAATATTACGGATCTAGAGATTCCTTCTCATTCATATTAATAAGGATCTAGATAGTCTTCATCATCCTCAACATCACCTTCATCATTAATATTACGGATCTAGAGATTCCTTCTCATTCATATTAATAAGGATCTAGATAGTCTTCATCATCCTCAACATCACCTTCATCATTAATATTACGGATCTAGAGATTCCTTCTCATTCATTTTATTAAGGATCTAGATAGTCTTCATCATCCTCAACATCACTTTCATCATTAATATTACGGATCTAGAGATTCCTTCTCATTCATTTTATTAAGGATCTAGATAGTCTTCATCATCCTCAACATCACCTTCATCATTAATATTACGGATCTAGAGATTCCTTCTCATTCATATTAATAAGGATCTAGATAGTCTTCATCATCCTCAACATCACCTTCATCATTAATATTACGGATCTAGAGATTCCTTCTCATTCATTTTATTAAGGATCTAGATAGTCTTCATCATCCTCAACATCACCTTCATCATTAATATTACGGATCTAGAGATTCCTTCTCATTCATATTAATAAGGATCTAGATAGTCTTCATCATCCTCAACATCACCTTCATCATTAATATTATGGATCTAGAGATTCCTTCTCATTCATATTAATAAGGATCTAGATAGTCTTCATCATCCTCAACATCACCTTCATCATTAATATTATGGATCTAGAGATTCCTTCTCATTCATATTAATAAGGATCTAGATAGTCTTCATCATCCTCAACATCACCTTCATCATTAATATTACGGATCTAGAGATTCCTTCTCATTCATATTAATAAGGATCTAGATAGTCTTCATCATCCTCAACATCACCTTCATCATTAATATTATGGATCTAGAGATTCCTTCTCATTCATATTAATAAGGATCTAGATAGTCTTCATCATCCTCAACATCACCTTCATCATTAATATTATGGATCTAGAGATTCCTTCTCATTCATATTAATAAGGATCTAGATAGTCTTCATCATCCTCAACATCACCTTCATCATTAATATTATGGATCTAGAGATTCCTTCTCATTCATATTAATAAGGATCTAGATAGTCTTCATCATCCTCAACATCACCTTCATCATTAATATTATGGATCTAGAGATTCCTTCTCATTCATATTAATAAGGATCTAGATAGTCTTCATCATCCTCAACATCACCTTCATCATTAATATTACGGATCTAGAGATTCCTTCTCATTCATATTAATAAGGATCTAGATAGTCTTCATCATCCTCAACATCACCTTCATCATTAATATTACGGATCTAGAGATTCCTTCTCATTCATATTAATAAG